AGAACCATGGAGATGGATCTTTATCCACTTGAATATTGCCAGATTTTGAGGAACAAAATTATCAGGAAGTGAATTCTATTGATGTGTTACACTGATTAGGTCCCTCCTAGTTAACACATTTTTCTTAAAGGGAACCACTGTCTGCCTGAAATAATATCTAACCTATGTATAGTGTCATACAGTTTGCAGATCACTTTACACATTATCTCATTTGATCTTCATAACTTTAGGAGGTAGGTGCTATTCTTATTCCCATTTCAAAGATGAGGAAACTGAGGCTGAGAGGTTGTGACTTGCCCAGAATCATGTGCCTAAGTCTCTGAAGCAGAATTTGGACTCAGATCTTCCTGATCCTAAATCCAACTGTGATACCTAGCTCCATCCACTATGCCATCTAGTTGCCTTGAAAGTTTCTGGATTTAATCCATTCCACTGGCATCATTACCTTTTGCTCCTCCCCACACACCCCCTTTTTAATGCTTGGATCTATTTGTCTTCTCAAATTCTGGTCTGAGAAGACAAACATCCATCCTAGTTCTTGGCTGTCACCCTTTAGTTGAAGACAAAGCTACCAAGTTTTCTTGGAAAGCCACCATAGTCTCTTCTAAACCTGTCAGGTGAGTGGCTTCTTTCTTGATTCATAGAATATTGTAATCCTTGCCAGTATTTTCCAGAATCCTTCCCACACACCTTGATGGATTTCCAATGACAAAATTCTTTCAGTTTTTCTCCATCTCCAGTTCTCCAAGATATTTAAAATTTTATAGCATGTCAACTAAACTCTTTGCTATACAAGAAGCATTACACAGAAGAGTAAGTGCAAAAAAAAAAAGAGCAACTTTAACAAAGTTCCTTTTATTGATGGACATCATTGTAATCATTCAACAATGAACTTAGACTTCAGATACTGTTAATCGTGAGGTACACAACGGGTCCATCAGGTAATGCTCCTGAAAAGAATGTGTTTGTTACTTTATAGTTGGCAATCCACGTTTTCCAAGTAAAGAACTTATGTAAAAATGGTTACAAAATGCTTTAAAAAAAGAATACATTTCTTAGATTCAAGTCACCCCAGACCTTCAGAATCAAATAAGTTCTTTCTAATTTTAGACAAGTTCACACAATGTTTTAAATGGGAATTTAACAAGGAAATCGGGGGGGAAAGGGGGGAGATTTTTATCCAAGAAATGCCACTACATGGGATTATAAGCCAGGAAAACCTGCAGACCTGAGAGAAGACAATTTAATTGAAAGAGCTCTAATAACTCATAGTTTACAGAACAAAGTTACAAAACTCAGCAAAAACACAGAAACCACTCGAATATTATTTTTACACGTTGTTTTTTATGACTTAAAAACTTTAAATGAGGTGAATTTCAAAACACCAAGTTTTGAAGTCTTATTATGTTTTATCCATAATGTTTTGCCATTCTAATTTCTAAGCAATATCCCCTTCCCCCCAAAGTAAAGTCTTATCAGCATTTTCACTGTCTTTTCTTTAGAACATAATGGACTTGGCCCTTAACAGATTGAAACCTTGACCAAGTTAATAAGATGAAGAAATTGTTAATAGTTGAGCTACTTAATGGTGGACACCTCCTTAAAGTCATACACAAAAGCATACTTGGCTTTTTTTTTTTTTTTTGGTAGTCTGAGAATGAAAACTCCTTTATACAGAGGAAAAGCTTGGGAGTCAAGACTCTTGGGTATTGGCTCTAACTCTGACCCTAATGCCTTCACTGACTTTGGGACTACCAGTCAGCCAAGAAGTCAGTCATCCCAAACACTGAGGCTACTTCATGAGCATGAGGAAAGGCCTCTTGAGACAGAAGACAGGCCAGAAAGAAGCTTGTAGCTACAGGCTAAATTTATTATAAACTTAAAAATTAAAGCAAGCAATACATAATAGAGACCGATGGTTTCATGGACAATCTTTTTCTGTATCTATCTATCTATCTATATATATATATATACACACATACACACAAAGTATGTGTGTATATACATATATATATACACACAGTATATAGTGTATATATGTATATACACACACACACACACCCATTTTATTTGGCTTAGTGTTCAGAGTAAATTTAAAATAAAAACAAAACAAGGAATGGCCTCTTGGCTGCTCAAAATGCTTAAGACAAGAGCACTGATACAGCCATACATGCCTACCTCTTGGGGGAAGCTTGCAGCTAGTACAGAGGTGAATATGGTATGGAGTCATATGTGGTGCACATAAAAAGTTGTCTGAAAGCGAAATGGCTGACACGAACCCTTTTGTAACAGTTTCCACAGGGTTACTGTTTTGTGGGTGGTGGTTGTGTTTTTATACTTCCATACAAAGAAACCTTCCACATGGTTGCTCTGGGTAACCAGTTAACTGAACCTTTATCAAAGTGAATGTCAAATGCAGAGCAAAACAAGTAAGTTTTCTCCATCTGTAAAGTTAGGCAGTTTGGGTTTAAGAAGAGTAGCCTGAGAGGCCTGGAAACACATGAATTTAATTTTCCCTATTTTATGAGGGTTGTCTATGCTCTCCTATGAGCTCCTGGGATGAAAGAATCTGAAACATTTCCTCCTAACATTAGTTCCATTTAAGAGTTTGGTGGGTGTGTAGCCTCCTTTGCTTTAAGATTTCAGAAAGATTACTTAATAGATTAAACAAAAGAAGGCCTGTGGGGCTGAGCTGGGACACTTTCCCCCATCACTGATGAGTATCTGGTTTCCATTTACTGTGTGGACCTCACCAAGTGCACAGGAAATATCTAATCTTCTGAGCTATGAGGTAGCCTCACTGACTTTTCCTGGCCGTGATGGGCAGCAGGAGGCCTTACTCCGTCAGGATATATGTACACGCTGAGTTCTGGTGGCAAAATCCTGGTGGTGAGAATGAAAGATGATTTCCTTTCCACCTCTGCACCATGTTACTTGTTATAGCTATGACTCTTTTACAGAGCTATTCGTGCTCTGTCTAGTCCGGGTGTCTGAGGACTGTTGACAACAGCCACCAAACTCTATGCTTGCTTACTGTAGCTCTTGGAAGAGAACATAGTTTATGCTTATTTATGGTTTACAGAAGACAGAAGATATTTATTATAACTGAAAAAAAAAGGGAAACACTCCACTCCATAACAAAAGACACACAGAAGTGAATTATTAGCAGGAGACAGTGGAATTTTGTTACAAAAGTATTTCTAGCCTTGATGATTTTAAACATTATCAAATTTTTTTTTTTAAATCACCTTCCTTTTCAAGTTGACTGGGAAAGGGAGGAAGTGCAGGGAGAGAATCTCTTTCAAAAAGTATGTACCCTTACCATCAAATCTGGCAAATTCAGAGGAATTCACGTCAATCACCTTGACATTACTCTTGCCCTCAACCACAAGAACCAGGTTATTTTTATAGTGACAAGCAGGAGACAATTTTTAATAAATCATTTCTCTTAAGAAACTTCTGGTTAGGCATAAACAAACCAACAAGAGAAGGGCTGAGCTCCTGTGTAAGGGCAGAATGAAGACTTTGCAAAAATTCAGTCCTACTTTCCTTCCTAAATTGGGGAACTATGCAGCTAAATGCCAAGAGACTTAAAACTGATTCATCAGGGTGTAGCTAAAAGGAACCTTTCCAGTCCTTGGGTTATGTTATATTCTTTCCTTTCCAGAGAAACAGATCTAAAAGGTTTAATTTTTGATAGAATCTTATGAGTTCTTCAGTGTAGGTAATGCCTAGTGTGTGAAAACTCCCTTCACCAATAGAGTGGCTCTTTCTCCTGTACCTTTCAAGTATTAGAAAGTTGACCAGGGTGGGGGGTAGGGAGTGCCTGGATATCATTGAGAGGTTAAGTCATTTGTTTGTGGTCACAAAGCTAACACATGTCTGAAGTGAGACCTGAACTCAAATCTTTTTGATGCCAAGGCTGGCATTCTATCCATCACACAGTGTTGACTACTTGTGTAATCAAGTCAAGACTTGAACGCAAGTCATTTGACCTCCTAGGGTCTTTTTAAAAATATCTATACCATTAGAGGATTGCTCTAGATGGCTTTTAAAGTCCTTTCCAGGTTGGGTTACAAAACTGCACAACACAATGATAGGAGGCTACAAGTCAACATCTTTCCGAGGTATATCAGTCTCCCCCTGCCCACCTTTTTTTAAACCAGATCCATGATTTTATTGGTTTAGAGAGCTCTAGATAAGAAATTCCCTCTACCAACATAGGGCAGTACCTGCTCCACAAATTCTAGACTTAAAGAATTGCCTAGAACACTGAGAGGAACTAAGTGTCTTGGTCAAGGTCACACAGCCAGCATGTGTTAGAGGAACCAAGATCAGCTCTCTATTCTCCCCATTTTTTCCATTCTCCAGCAGCGCCTTTTAACGTCCAGTTTCAGGAAAGAGTTTTGCAGGCTTTTTTAGGAAAGGAAAACAAAAAAAACAAAAACCCCTCCCATCCTCCATGTCAGCACAGATACTTATGAGAAGAAAAAAAAAAGATGAGTGAAAAGCAAGAGTTATTTCTTTTTGTTATATTAGTATATTAGCATATTGCAACTCCCTTGTCATGACACGGATTAAAGCTAACTCCTGAATGATGAGCACAAGGGCTTATCAGATAGAAGAGTTAATGAAAATGTCTTCTCATCTATAAAGAGTATCCCAAAAATCTTAGTTCAGTTTTAAGCTTTAACAAATCTAAAACTGCACTAAGATTTTTGAGACACCAATTTTTTTTTTAATGTCTCTAATTGGTAGAAGGGCCAGAGAATACAACAGGATAACAAAGAATGTCATTTCTGGCTTCTGGGATCAACCAATGCATAAAATATAAGGAAAACCTATTTAGACTGATGGTCTCTAAACTTTCCCCATCAGAAGAATGAGAATCCAAGTTGGATGCACATTGAGCCTCAGTATCCCACAATGATAATGACACAATGATGCAAAAGATTTCTTCTCTGCCTCCTAAACTATAGTGGACTAAAAAGACAAAGTCATTCTGTATTGATCTGGCTTCAGGTTTCTTTATTAAAAAGTACAAGAAGATTCACATAGGAGTCCCAGGGTTCCAAGGATTTTTAGCAGTCACTGTGTCTATGTTATTTCTGTGAAAGTAAATGACATTTCTAAGTCCTAATACCTTGATGGAGAGTTTAAACTATTATTTAAATGATCTGACTCAGAGTGTAGTTTTGAAGCATATTTGTATATATTGTAGTTTTTCTCTGCTAAGCAAAAGCAGCAGCAGTTATAGGTAAATTACTATTATCATAGTTTATTATTACTTAGGGCATGTAACATACCCTAATTCTATCAACACGTGACTCTCAGAACATTGACAACTTTGGGTAAAAAGAACTGCACTAAGCATACAACATTTTCATTTTCAGAGGATTAGCATAGCCACCTTTAAAACATTTTCAGGCACTAGAATCAAAAGAATGAGCATTAAACAAGCCACCCGACGGAGCACAGCATCTAGTTAACTGTCTGAAGTCAACCCTCGAAAGAAAAGGATTCTTGGTCACAAGAGTATTTTGGATTTACAACTTTCAGCTTTGGCTGTTCAATAATAAATATCACACCTTCTTAGCATAAACCTACCTGGGCAAACATCCTAACATTCCCTTTTCTCTTTTAGCAGCTGCTGGGTGTTGAGTGATGTACAAGGCACACCTCTAAAGTGTTCTCTATGGCATTTTTATTGTCATACAAAATAGCCTGGTTCACCATCCAAAAACTTAATCTGCATAGTAAAAGTTTCTACCACTATTTACAGAGGGGTTTTAGTGCAAAAAAAAAATTAATAATAATGAAATTATGTACTAAGCCCTACCCTTTCTAGCACATCAATCCATCAGTTTTATTCAGTGCCAGATGGGCCTCTGGGCTATATCTTGGGCCGCCAGCCATTAATAAACTGTAGTATTTTCTTCACTTGGAGTTTGCTAAGCTTGAAGTCCTCTGAGAGGATTTCTTCAGTTAGCTGGACTAGCAAATTCCCATCGATCTTTTCAGTAACAAAGAACGAGATGACATCTTCTGACAAACCAATGAACCGCAGTGATTTGGACACTTCCTCTATAGAAAGTCCTGACAGGTCGGTGGGCGGTTGCCATGGGGAACCATCACCACAAGATCTTGGCGCTAACTGGAGGTGAAGGGGAGAGGAAAAAGGATAAGAAATAGAGAAAATGTCTTGTGTGCCTTTTTTAACAAAATACTGATCCTCTGAGAGGTCTGGTGAGCCAGGTTTAGGGTCTTCCTCAGCACCATCTATTTTCAGAGGCAAAGGAAACGATTCTGGGGCCAGTTTCTCCTCAGTTAGTTTGGGTGCTCTCGGGGGTAAGGCTGGGCATGAATGACTCTGTTTTGCCGGGCTTGTTGCTAGGGTCTTCTCATCCGTGCACTCTAAAGAGTAACTGGCTGACTTAGGACAGCCAGACATGCCACCTGTGAACTCTGCTGGACCTGACTGGGTGGAGCCCACATAGAGGTCACACCCTTCAAAATCAAAAGCGGCTGGACAGTTTCTTTTTGGGGTGCCCGGTGTCTTCTGCCTAGGGTAACTGTAACTTTTGCTCGGATCCAACAGGAAGTCATTCCTGTTCTCACTCTCCGTTGCTCCCAAGAAATGGCTAGGCCATGACAGTCTAGAGGACAGAGCATCAGCAGTGGGGCTTCCAAAGGGAGATCTGCTAAGTTCCAGAGATTCAGTCTTCATCCTGTTACAAGGATAGCACGAAACAGAAGCACTTTCTGAAGGACTCATTGGGTCACTCTCAGTGACACTGTTTAAAAGCAAAGATACACAGAAGGGGAAGTTAGCAAAAAATGATTCCTAATCAATCAATCAATCAATTAATCAACAGGTATTAAGTGCCTACTATGTGCCAGGCACTGTGCTAAGCCCAAAGCCATCACTATCCAGAGATACTGATTATAAACTAAAAAAAGAGTTAGGGAAAACTCTTAACAGTATTTCTCATAGTAAACCACTCATTCACCTCAGACTTCTAAATGTTAGGTTTTGAAAAGTGTTAACAGTGTTAGCTAAATATCAGTAGAACATCACATTAATTAATATTCCCTGGCCCCTCAACCCCACCTCATCCCAGCACTACCTCTGCAAGAAAAAATCCTTCACACTTGTAACAAATCACTGAAAACTAGTTTATCTTAACAGAGATTTAGGTCCTAGAATGACCAAGAGCATTTTTAAGAAGGGTTTTCCTTTAAAATCTAAAGGAGATTAGCATTTGGGATGTTATGTTCAGTTCTGAAAACTACTGATTTATCTGAATTTTAATAGGGACACTCACATTGGAGTATGTGTTAAAAGGGCAAACCAAGAAGGGTCTGAAAGCCATGTTCCCTCAAAACAGTTGAAAAAATATGGATGCTCGGGTGGGGGAAATAAAGGCACAAGAAGCACATGTTTTAACTATTTGAGGGAGCTGATATGTGGATGCAGGAGCAAGACATTACAGAAGATAAGTCAGTGGAAGTTATAGAGGTAAATTTTGGCCTGACTCAAGCATGCACTTCCTAATAGTTATAGCTGTCCATCAATGAAATAGACTCCCTCATAATGTAGTGAGCTTCTCTTCACTGAAGTATTCAGGTACAGTTTGATGACTACAGCTTAAGCATGTGAGGAAGAACATTCCTATAAACTGGGCTTAGTACAACTGAGGTTATACTAGGGAACCTTTAAGACCCTTCAGGGCTTCAGAATTTTATGAATCTGTGATCTTACAAGCCTGCAAAATGTTTCAGTGGCTTGTGGTGGCTACTACCAATAGTAACTATAAAGGAAAGAAATGAGGGTACACATGTTATCTAAGTTTTAGGTGCCTCCCAGCACCTAACACAGTCCTTTACACAAAACAGGCATTTAATAAATGCTTGCTGAATGAATGAAAAAAGTCATTGGTTTGAGATCATTTATGTTTTCCTACTGCCTTTACTGCACCAACCTCTATTAGTTATTTCCGCTGAGTATCCAGTTAACCCTTACCAATCATAGGGTATATCATTTCCTTTTACAGGAGGAGAGTATAATCCTTAATAATTTAACACTGAGTTCCTCCAAGATGAATTCTGTTTTTCTCTCTTCTTGGGGTACTGGCTCAGCCCTAAAATGCTGCATTTCAAAGGTAGGTTCAAAAGAGCATCCTTTACATAATTTTACTCCTAAATTCCTTTCAGAACATTTTGCCTCTTGATTCTTCATTCCCTTTTAAGTTCACAGACCTCCACAGACCAGAGATTGGAAGAACCATGTTGAATGGTGCTTGCTAGGGAGACCTCTCAGCTCTAATACTTACATGTTGTGCAGCCCCGAAGAATAGTAGGACAAGGTAGGGCTAGGGGAACGTGTCTGTTGCCTCACTAGTTTAGCTGATCGAGGAGGAATGGAAGGACTTGTTGATGAAGGCTTTGCACTTCTGGGTGGAACAGGTGGTGCGTTCAAGAGTCGGCATTCTTCCCTGACCTAGAAAAAGAGAATAAATACTCCAGATTAGCAACAGAACTGGACAACACCTCTAGGTGCTGGTGTGAGCCTGGTGTGTTAAGCCTCTCCTTTTAAAAATAATGGAATCAGAAAGGGAGGGAACCAGGGAAGGCCTGGCACTCACAACTGTTAGCTAATACATTCTGCCAGAGATAATATCAGCTACCTGTCAAATGCATTCAAGCACAGATTGGTTTTGAAAGAAGTGGTTTGATGAGTACTGGTAACTGTCCAAATACTGTAGCTAAAATGTTTAACTAACTTTAAAGTAACTTTGGATGAAAAGCTAGCAAAAAAGTGAAAGATTACAAAGTGAAAAGGATATAAGGCTAACATGACATTTATATAGGATTAGCTGAAGCTCTCATACTGTTATTGTAGTCATTCACTGATGCCAACTCCCTTGAAATGATTCAGAGTTTAGAAAAGAATATACATCTTCTTGATCATAGGCTAAACTCTGGTTTTGAGATGCAACACTAAGACAGCCCTCTGGATCGAAAAATGGGCTTTCTTGCAAATGCCAAGCTGTAAGCATTCATCACCTGTCCTTGACCTTCATGTAAGATTGGCTGACCCCTGAACTGAGCCTGGGTTCCAGCTGCCATCTTCACAATGCTCATCCACACAGTGCTCTCCTAGAAGTCAATTTTTTAGGCCAAGTATACTTTAACTGTAATTGTCTCATTCAGACAGCAGGGGGAGGTTTATGCCCGGTTCTGCTCCTGTAATCCAATTCCAGAAGCATAGGAGTACACGATCCACACCATAGTTAATAAATAAATAAATGAAAAAGGAATTGGGGGCGGTAATATCATGGAAGTGCCAAACCTGTCTGCAGAGCAGCCCCATCTTTCTGCTAAAGCAGCTCCTAGGTGTTCACCCATAGGAGAATGAAAATTACTTCAAATGTTAATATTTAAACCTTTACCTTTGCAGTGAAAAAGGTAAGTCAAGATTCTCAAAGCTACCCATATTCTCCCCCTCCACAGCCCATCAGGGACTTTCTCTTCTGTTGTTCCACCAATTCCACCACCACCAACCCCTCTTTTTTTTTGTTTGCTTTGGTTGTAAGTGCCCCTTATGAAAAAGTCACTGGACTGGGAATCAGAAGGAACTGGGGTTTCTGTCTAACTTTGTCACTTACTTGCGCAAACTCAGAGGCAACTCTCTGGGCTCTCTCATCTGTCCAATAAAAAAGGCCCGAAATAACTGATCTCTAAGGCCTATTCTGATTTTCAAATTCTATGATGACTGAGCCAAGGTGCCTGCTTTGGGGTCTTAGAATCAATCAATATCAATCAACAAGGCAGGTAGGGGCTCAGTTGTGAAGGGCTTTAAATATCAAATTAAGGAACAGTAAAGAGCTTTAAAAGCTAAAAAGAGGCCTTTGCCTTTACATTTAATCCTAGAACTAAAAAGGGAGCCACTGGAGCTTACTGAGCACGGGAGTGATATGGTCAGACCTCAGCTTTTAAAAAGTCATTTTGGCAGCTGTGTGGAAGATAAAGGCAGGGAGACCAATTAGGGTGGGATGCTTGGATTGAAAAAAGTAAGGCTGGAAGAGGATGGGGACAAATAGGAAGGATTTTTCACACAAAGGCCCCCATGGTAAATTAGAGTCTGACTTTCAGCCCACTTGTTTTCTACCACTCAGAACGCTGGGGCTCTGATTGTTTTGTTTCTCCCACCCCCATTTTCAAATAAATCTGAATTACCAGTAAGCCTACACAACAGGGAAGTCATCTTTCTCCTAATTTACTTAATGGTCTTATCTACTCTGAGGTAGCCAGCCAGACACACCAATTTTAGAGTCACAGGTTGTAGGAATCAACCTTAGAGGTTACCCAGTCCAACTTCCTCATTTTACAGATAAGGAAATAGAGGCACAAAGGGACTCCACCCTCCATCCCTGGGCTATTAACAGTTAGTCACTTTTCAAATAGGAGGAGAGAGTTTGGGAAGGGGGAATATATTATGAAAAATGCATCTGCTTCCTCTAGGAAGCTCTGAAATGGGGGATCAACTCTAAAATAGGATTTATTTCCAAAGGGAGACTAACATTTTAAATTATAATGAATGTTACAAGGAACATTTCAGCCAACATAAGTCTTGGGTCACAGCAAGTAGGCTATTCTGTTGTGCTCATATAGAAGAGGGCAGCTAGGTGGCATAGTGAATACAGTGCCTGGCCTGGAGACAGGAAGAATAGAGTTCAAATGTGGCCTCAGACACCAGCTGTGGGATGCTGGGTAAACCTCTTAACCCTATTTGTCTCAGTTTCCTCATCTGGAGAAGGAAATGGCAACCCCACTTGAGTATCTTTGCCAAGAACACCCCAAATGGGTTCTTGAAGAGTCAGGAAAGACTGAACAACAACAAAAGTACAGAAAAAGTTGTTACAGTCACTTCCTTCAAGCTGTCCTTCTCACCAACGTCAGTTACTTGAAAAAGACAGGGTTTGATCTGTCTACCTCCTTTCCTTGGATGTCCAAGCATGCCTTTCTTTGGGTAGAAGGTCTATAGGAAAGCTGTGGAGGGGATTACTGTAGTTTGCCTTGAGTAAGGAGCAAAGGAAGATAGGGAAGAGACATCCTCTACCCTCCCCTCCCCTGTGGCAATGGGTATTTCTAGTCACTGTATTGCAGAAAGTTTACTAGGTTTGGAGCCAAAGGCCATGGCCTCAAATCCCAGTTTAACTTCTCTGGGTTTTTGTCTCTTTTTATATTCTCAGAGATTAACACAGTGCCCAGCACATAGTAGGTGCTTTTACCTAATTCATAAAACAAAGGGACCCGGCCAAATAACTTTTGAGATCTCTTTTAGCCTAAATCTAGGACCCTATCTATGACAGTACAATTGGGATCCCCTAAATAACCTGAGTCATAAAGCAAATCAGATTTATAGTCTCTCCAATTAAAGGAAATGCCCATAAGGAAAAAAATGGAGTTAAAGGGAACATTAAAATGTATCTGAGAGCTCCTTTACCCTGTTATCCATTTTCCCCGCCTCATCGTAACAGCAAAGGTTAAAATGAATAAGGCAAGGACCTAGACGTATGTTTATGATTGGAAACAATTTTGTACTGCTAAGCACAAAATAAGCAATCATTTCTGATTGGGGAGAGAGTGCTGACATCCCAAGCCAGATCTCAGGAGGCCCTTATTTAACATGGTATGGAAATGTGCATGCTCTAGTTAGAGAGGAAGGTGGTCATGTTACTAGCTCAGCTAGCTAGCATCTAAATAGTGCTTTAAAATTTGTAAAGTGCTTTACAAATATCATCTCGTTTTATCCTCATAACAACCTTGGGAGGTAGGTGCTATTATTATCCCCATTTTACAGATGAGAACACTGAGATAGACAGAAGTGAAATGACTGCCCAGGATCACACAGCTAGTAAGTTTATGAGGAGGGATCTGAACTCAGGTCTTCCTGACTCCAGGTCCAGCTAGCTATCTATCCATCTTTCTTACCCAGCTGTTGACTCAGAGAGATAAGAAAGAGCCCCTGGTATCTTTGCTTCTCCTGCTTATAAGCAGTGTCATTGACTGGGACACAAAAGGCGATTCCAGGGAGGTTAATTTACCTGCCCCCAGATTCCTCTCCAAGTTTTCCTATTCAATGTAATTTTCTCTCGCGTTACAATTTTGGCATATTGTTTAACTCAGGTATGTGGCTTTCACTATGTCACTCCTTTGTTCTAAGACCTTTAGTAGCTCATTGCTGATCACGGGCTACAGTACAAACTCCTTTTCCTATTTTACACTCACATTCCTCTATAATTTGAACTTTTCCATCCTTAATGCCTGCTATCATCCATTGTAACCACCTACAAAGCAAGGGTCCAGGGATGGGGGTGGAGGTGAGGATGGGGGTGGGAGGGGATGTTCCACACTGCTTTATTGTGGCCAAGGGGCTTCTAT